TTTCAGTTATATCAAGTTGCTGTTTGGAATAATACTTCATAGTTATCAATGGCCCCAAACTTGTAGGTGAAAAGCTTGTTATTTCTGGTCTCCATTTTCCCCTGTTTGACTACTGTTGCTAGCGTGAGTTTAGTGGACTAAACACAGGGTAGCATTCTTTCTTGCTTTACCCATGTAGCTTTGACAAATCAGGGAACAAACCTTGCAGCAGATAATGGACAAGGCCAGAGGCTACCAAAGGCAGTCTAGTCAAGGGGCAGAGTAGAAAGGGAAAGGAAGAACAGAATACAGAATGGAAAGGGCGAAAGGGCACGTACATGTGTTAAATACATACTTCCTAAGAAGCAGCAGCACTGTGCCTGCCATATGATAGATTAGCTGTGATTAATTTGATGAGATTCCACCAGCTCTGCCTTCTGTGCTCTTTCCTTGCTTCTGTTAACATAAAGGTACAATGAGAAAGAACCTTCTAAAATAAGTTGCAATTCTAAACCTGCATCTGTCTCTCCCACCCACATGCCAACGCCCCACTTATTCTGGTCACACACACACACACACACACACACACACACACAGAGTTTTAGAAATTCCAGAGTTCTGGAAGGTATCAATTTATTTTAATTAGTGATATACATCAAATATTTGACATCAGTCTGCGTCTAAATCTGAAAAATCATTGTAAGTCACTCTGAAGTTCAGATAGGAGAACTCTTGCCAGGGTGTGGGCCCTCGGAGTTGGTGGTTAGGAAATATCCAGGCTGATGAAATGACTCATGCCCACAGAGCAGACACTTGCTTAAGGTGGTTGTAGACCACACAAGCTTGCTCAGCATTGCCTAAGGAATTCAAGAAATGGAAGCCTTCGCTCACACAGGGTTGACTGCAGTTCGATTCCCGAACCTTGCAGCTTGCTTTCTCACTTTCCCCTTCTCTCTTGGGTCAAATCAGAAAATGATAATGATGAATTTAAGAAATTAAGTAAAATAATTCTTTTAAAAAAATAGTGAGCAAGTAGCAGCTTAAAGTTTGGAGAGGAAGTGTATTTGTTTCTTAGTGTTTACAAATATTAAGTACTTTTGATACAAAGTATACTTTTAACATCAGAACCTTTTTACAGAAATTGTTCCTGTAAAATGATGCCCTCGATTTTGATCCTACACATACAGATTAGCTATAAACAAACAAATGTCTGTCAGGCTATATGAAGAAAATTAGAGAAGGGTGCATATGGGTATATTTTTATGCTTGGCCAGTAAAGTATGGTAAATCCTATCAGAACACAATTTTTTAAAGAACATTTTTGTAAATTTTCTTAAGATGTTTGTATGTATTGTACAGTGGTATGAGAAATGACCTTGAACCACTCTAAAACTGTAGATTCCAAACAATAAAAGTAAAGACATACTCTTTGGTCTCTGGTAGTTACTTGTTTTCTCAACTAAATCTATAAGCCAAGACAATGTGATTGAAGGAAAACGCTGATAGTTTTTCACTGGTATCACTTTTCTTGATGATAACGTCCTTGCCTTCTAATAAACCTCTATCCTCCCTCCACCCCCCCATGAGAAAAATGCATGCAACTTTTAAGTATGAAAGAAAATTCATATTTTAAATAAGACTCCTAAGTTTTCTGACTTTGATGTACAGAATCTAATGTAGAGTGATTTTTCAGCCTGTATTGATTTTCTGAAAATAACAACGTCCAAGTTAGTGTTGAAGGTTTTAACTAATTTATCTGAGTTGGTACTGTGCCCAAGAATCTTCCTGAAACATACCGTAACACAGTAGACTTATTTTGTTACACTTCCGTCAATCAGACACACTAAAACCATTTAGTAGCCATCTTAACCCATTTGGGCTTCTATAACGACATACCATAGAATGAGGTTATGAACAAGAGAAATTAATTTCTCACATTTCTGGAGGATGGGAAGTCCAAGATCAAGGAGCTGGCAGATCCAGCATCTAGAGAGGACCCATGTCTTGGTTCACAAATGGTGCTGCTTGCCATGGCCCTCGTGGTGGCGCAGGCAGGACAACACTGAGGCCTTTATAAAGGCACTTACCTCACTCACAAGGGCTCTGCCCTCACGATCTCATCACCTTCCAAGGCCCAACCTCCCATCACATTGGTGATACGTTTTCAACATACAAACGTTGGGAGAACACAAACGTTCAGACCATAGCAGTAGCTGCCTTCGGCAGTTTGCCCAAAGAGTAAACCGGGCTTCTTAGAATAAAGTTTAGGCTGCTAATATACTTGTACATTAAAAAAGTTGTTCCGTTGAGGAGTACGTAAAGTAGACCCTGTCAATCTGAAATAAAGACGTCTGACTCAAGCTTGTTGAGCAAGCAAAAAAGGTTTATTCATGGCTGAACCTGAGGATAATTACCCAGGAACAATGTTTCAAAAGCCTATAGCCAATGCTCCAAAAACAGTTTGGGTTTTTCTTTCTTTCTTCTTTTCTTTCTTTTTTTTTTTTCTAAAGACAATGGAAAGAAAAAAATTACAAAAGAAAAAAGTTACTGAGGGGTTTTGAGAAAAAAAAGTTAATAGACAGAAGAATGCAGATAAATAAGGGGAAGAGTATAGTTACAGAATGGTGTTTGACAGGAGTAAAAAAATGTGGACAATTCAATATTAAAAAAAAAACAACTGTTATCAAGTGTGTATAACAATGTAATGTTCAATGTTGAAGAAGAGGAATACATGTTTATCCTTGATTTGATTATTATACACCATATGCATGATTTAGAAAAACCATACTGTAGCCCACAAAAATATACACCAAATATATGTACACTAGAAATCATAATTTAAATAAATAAAGTACAAAAATAATTAAAATTGGGTCATACTATTAAAAAGAAGGAAAAAGTTACAGAACTGTTTCTCAGAGATTTATGTGATTCATATTAAAGTTTTTAGCACGAAGTTTTATCGTCTATGCATTCCTTCAAGACTGAGTTTCCATGACTACAATCTTTCATACTGCAGCTCAGAACACTGGAATCAGATCCTTTGGCTCCCTGATGGTCACAGCGGCCATTTCTGTCAAGGCTTGATGATTAAAAATAATTTGTCTTATTTCCTTTTTAAATTTTAGCTGCAGTTTCACATAACTTTTTATTACAGTATATCGTTACAATTGTTCTATTATTGTCATTGATCTCTTGCTGTGCCTAATTTATAAATTAAATTTTACCATAGGTATATTTGTATAGAAAAAAAAAACATAGAAAATACCCACTTTCTTGAACAACACAGGCTTGAACTGTGTGGATTCACTTTCATGCAGAATCCTTCCACTCTCCTTCTCCTTCCCCTGCCCCTGCTTCTTCTGTTTCTCCCTCCCTTTCATGTTGTCGGTCTCTGTCTCTTTTTCCCTAACACCAATTTTATCACTTTTTAAGAACAAGAGACTTCCCCCCAAACTGAAAAATATGAAACAAAATGTCCATGCATTCTGAAACTGCAGTATTAATTCCAGGATGCCTCCTTTTCTCTCAGACCAAGCTGACTCCTGGGAATACAATGGTAGCAGTATATGGTTTGAGGGTTCCTCTACGTCGGGATTCCTTGCTGTCTCTCTCCTGAGTTTTAGGGATGGACTCTGTAGGCTTCGTGCCATCCCAGAGGTGCCTAGCCTCTGTCCGTGATGCCAGGTGGGCAGGACTCCTGGGTTTCTCTGTCTTCACAGCTCTCAGGCTCCCGTGCTTGCTGCTGTTACCCCAGGTGATGATCAACCATCATCCGTAGCCCTTTCATTGTGAGGTGATCCTTGTCATCTTCTGCTTCCATGGAAATATTGACAAAGTGGATTTGGGCAGTGTCTTCAGGATCCCACCATATGTCTTGAGGTGACTGGTCACTGCTCAGCACAAGGGGTGAGCGGCACCTCTGAATCTGCTCCAGAGCCTCCACCTCGGGGTTAAGTGCAGCTCCAGCAGCGTAACTAAATCTTTTGGGGGCTCTTACCCAGCTCTGTGGCTGGGGTGGCAGCTGCTGGGCTTGTGTATCAAAAGGCAGCAGGAAAGACAACTGGAGAAGAGGCAGCAGGACTCAGGGCTGGGCAAGCACATGGCTATTTGTAAAGTTCCGGGGAAGTCAAAAGTTATACATGCATTTTAAACTGTGCAAGAGTGGGCACCTCTAAAACCTGAACTGCTCAAGAGTCAACTCTTTAGGGTTCGGTTGCTTTTGAGACTTGGTTACAAACACAAAAGACTGTAAGCAGACACTGTTAGGATGTTCAGTAGCTCCTATAATCACGGCTTCAGGTATACACTGGGCTCTCAGAACGTATGTCCCACATACGAGGGGGACTATCAGTCCTGTGAATGTGTGGCTAAGAAAAAAGC